GTACGAGAGGAAATAAAAAAACACAGCAAAAAGTATAAAATCAGACTCCAGGCCCATCCGAACGACTTGGCACAAAAGCTGCTCGACAACGAAGGAGAAATCAGGAGGTTAAACAGATTCAAACCTTCAGATTTACCCACCAGATTTGAATAATTCAACACTTAACTGCATGTCACTAAGCAGTTAAAATAAGTATTGAGCATGTTCATTGGAACATGCTCACCACGACAAGTTCTCTTTCCTTTTCTATATGTAAACCACAAAATGTACTTATTATCCACATTTAATGGATAGATTGTATAATTATTGGAGTTAAATAAAAAAAAAATTATACAACGGACATTTTAAATATGCACAATCGGCGGAAGGCACTGCAGCAAATTGCATGCCAAGTTCCAAGTTCCAAGTATTTATTTGCATGAGTTGATAATATACTTTGTTTATTCATTTACATTGGTTAAAACTGTACTATTATTAAATATATTGGTGTAATATCCCTTGAGATTTCAACGTAAAGTATCGCCATGCTGTATAAATTTTCATACAATTAACTTCCTTTACTTCCTTATTTAATTCCAGTCCAACATGTTACTGATTGATACGTCGAGGCTGAAATTTAACCTCGTCTCCCACGAATAACACGCACAATTAATCAATCATAAACAGTCTTCTTTATACAGCGTACTCCACTACACATATCCTTATTAAAATATTTTGAGCAGTCACAGAATAGACACGATGCACTCAATAAAACTTTGCTCTCTCCTTTGTGTCCTATTCAGTACTGAAGTACACGCATGTGTTTACGCTCGACAATTCGTTTCTGTGGAAACCGAAAGTTTTTTATGACAGTGATATATCTGATTATTATAATTATGTATGTTTATACTATATACAGATATGCTAAGAGAAATGTATACACATCAGTACGCCTCCATTTTCATTGACTGTCCTGCCGTTCGTTAAGGTTGTCTTTATTGCGAAAAGTAATTGTAAATGCAAAACAAAGGCCCAGACAGTGGTTCTAACATTCACGCGATTAGCACTTACATTAGTATTACACTAAGAACCGTATTTTTCGGTTCAAATTTGAAAATGTACGTAGATAACCTCTATTAAAATGTGTATACTTTCTTTTTAAGGTGCCTTATATTTTTGGACCTGTCACATTTTTTACCCTCTCTGTATATATACTTTTGCGTATAGACACGTTACTAAGGGGTGACTGTAAACAGCGCCCGTTGGCGTTGAACTGCCACAACATACACGCACGCAATAATAAATGAACGGTGTTTTCGGTGGTACGCGCCGCGGCCGTTTCTGGGCAACAGCTCGGTAAACACGTTCCCACTGCAATGGACCCGAAATAATAGAATAACTGTGTGTTCTGTGTGGTCCGTGTTGAGATGTTATAAGCAATGGACAAAGTTTGTTGATACTTCAGTTCTGTACCGGAGACTGTGAATAAACGTGTTAGTTGCAAGAGTACTAAGTTGAAGGTCCGAAGTTTGTGTGTGTGTGTGTGATATTTGAAGTGTGTAATTCAGTGAGACTATTATAGTTTCTGTGCTAAAATCCGTTGCCAGGAAACGGCTAGTGGGGACTGTAATATACTGATGACACTAGTATTCGTGTGTCATTGATTTGTAAATTGTAGTCATGAGTCGCGGGTTTATAAATGGTCAACAAATTGCGTCACCAATCCAAACCCCGTCTGAAGTCACTCATCCACATGACAATACATAGAAGGATTAGAAGATATTCGTGCTTTAGAAGTTAAGATGTACTGTGAAGGGATGTGAAGGCTGTTATTTTGGTAGATATCCATATATTTTTTCATCCCCGAAAACTATCTGTGGTGTTTTAAATGACGCCAGATAACAGTTACATTCCATTCACGTGTGAAGATTTCAGATGTTCCGATCTTGTGCCTATGAACATGACTTTCTAATAGTTTAAAGATTCAATCGATAAAGAAAATGATACACTTATTTGAGATATTGTCACATATTTAGGGGCCTGACTACAGACGGGGTATGGATTGGTGAATAGATTTATTGACTACTTGTATATATCACTCCCCCCTCGTTGGTGTCTCCGCCTTATCGTGGTGAGGGGGTTTGAGTATGCTAAGGACCCTGAGAGCTATACCAGCGGCAGCGTAGCTACTGGCAGGGCCTCCCTTGCTGGACAGGTCAAAGGGTAGGCATCAGACGAAGAGAGACACCAAAAACTGATGCCGGAAGCAGCGTCATCAGTAGCGACTTGAAGCACAGAACAAATGATGCTCGAGATGGTTCAAGTTCGTATAGCAACAGGCGTGACCAGAGTGGTTTGAACGGCTGCTGTACTGCGATGTGGAAAGCAAATGGAAAAACTACCACATTATCACTTTTCCTGGATAGTCTCTTTCCAAAAACAGAAGATCGCATTAAGTGGAGGAACTGTTTTGGAAGCTATATGTGCTTCCATCTTCAGGTGTTAAGAAAGTGAACAACCCCATTGAGTTGTGCTCTTTACACCAAATTAGTCCTGTAAAATTTATCCCCCTTAGTAGGAACACTGCTAAGATGGTAAGCAGTTTCACCATTCTGTGACATTCCAAAGTAGTCCTGATAGGTGCCCATGTGTTGTACGATGCAATAAGGAAGGGACACATGTCACAAACTTTGGTAGGTTTAGCCTACATGTACTCTTTTGCTGGATGTGAGGTTCTCAGCGCTGACCACGAATACTGCTAATCTTCTGGAATGTGATGCCGTGTAGTCTGGTAGAGAGCTGCCAACATTTCTCTTGGCTTCTCTTTACCTCCTGTCGGTTAACGTAGTTATATTATTTTCCCAGATAACTCTCCGTTCGAGAATGACCCTTTAAAGGCACAATATTTCTTTAGCCTCTTCTCCTTACTCTCGTTGGTTTTCTCGGGGCTCCAGTGCTACTGTGCCCTTATATGTACCATTTTTACACGCTTCATTTACTCTTTTACTTTGAAGATGGCAGCAGTAGGTTCTCCCGAAATATCGTTGAGTTTCTACCAGACTACTACACGGCGTCACATCCCAGGATATACTGCTCTCCATGAAATGAGCTCCATACGAATAGACTATATGTGTACTGGGGCTAAGCACGCTTCGCCGAATATTATTAGGACGATCCTATCAAAGAAAACGAGATGGGCTGGGCATGTAGGACGCATGACTGGAAGACGAATCTGTTCCAGATTTTTGTAAGATAACCTTAAAGAAGGAGACTACTTGAAAGACCTAAGCATAGAAGTAAGGATAATATTAAAATTGATCTTAAATCTCTAGGATGGGAGCGTGTTAATTGGGTTCATCTGTCTCTGGGTAGGGTCCATTGGAGGGCTTTTGTGAAGGCGGTAATAATCCTTCAATTTCCATAAATTTCTTTTACTTGTTGAGCAACTATAAACTTACGAGGGACTCTGTTCCGAGGACTCGGCTCTGTTGTAGTAACCAGTTGAGAATCCTCCTGTACCTTACGTCACTGTGAGCAGGTTACCATAAAATTTATTGCCGATGTATATAAGGCTCATATTGGCTTTACAGGATGTTCAGATAAACTTGCCTACACCTCGTGTTTTCAAGAGACAGTTCTGATGTCACTTGAACGTAATCCGCAAGTGACGTTAGGGCACCGTAGATATGGAAAGCTGAAGACGTTAAAGGTCTATTAAATCACAAATACCACAGGAGCTACAACTGCATATGTTAACACCGCGGATTAAAGATGAATATCATATGTGAGTCTACAGAAGATCATATTGAATCCGTAATATACATTAATAATGGTCCATAAGTAACATAACATCCCTGCTTCTTATTCAAGACATCCCGGGTTAAGTGTTTCGGAGAATTTTTTTGCATCTATCTTCAGGATACTTTAAATTGTAAGATGGAAGCAGTGCGTTCTTTCGCAATGTTAACCATCTACCAGATTACACCGTGTCATAATCCGGGAGATCACAATCCCCAAATCTGCGTTCTTCACTTACGGTGAACGACCGAGTTTCACACCCATAAAGAGCAGATAAATTTGCATTTTCTTAAAAATATGTTCTTAAGTCATATATGTTCTATTTAGAGTAGTCAGTGAAATTAATCCAGAGATTTTAAATTAAATGCCTGATAACAGCTGCCATAAGTACAGAATTTCAAGATCTGTTGTTGTATAAGTGAACTACGTCTGCTTTCATCCGGTTACGTTTCACAGTCGTTAAAGTAGTTAACACACTATACGGCTGTCTCATACTCGTCAAAATATACCAGTGGGTTAGTAGGCATTTGAAGATGGAAGGGCTTATGTGATTTATTAATGTTATTACGTACTTCCGGTATATATCAATGGATTGTCAAGCGTTAACACGTTCTCTGTATGGCAGTTGTGTAGTACATCACGGACAAGCGAGCAGTCTTTTGATTCAGTGTAAGTTGTCTGTTGTGTTATTACTGATGATATTTGAATGTGGACATGTGAAGTGTAGTGTACTGTAAAAAGGAGACGGTTTAAGATTATTTGTGCATATTATCCATGGGAGATGGCATTAAACGCCGGCCTCGAAGTATCATTCGATAACACGTAGGACTGGCAAGAAATACGGGGAAAACAGGGAAGTTAATAATACGAAAGCTTGTATAAAGAAAGGTGAGACTTCCTGTTAAATTTTCAACGAGTGTTAATCACTTATAAAATTATAAAACGACCAGAAAGTAGTGAAATTTTTATCTTGGTAATAAAACTAACAAATTCACTCACGTTCAAGGATTCGTTGCATGTTGTAGGGTTATATAGCTAGACCTTTATTTTACAGCCCTGCTTTATGGAAATTTTCATTGCCTCAATAAAGTTTTGATAACGGCTGATGTTTATCTGAGGATCCACGCTTCCGCCCATTTTGAGTTTATAAAAAGCTAAGGGAAGGAGTTTCTTGCTGCAATCTGGATACCGGATAATAACGGAAAACTCTTCTTGTCTTCCAGACTACACGGCGTCACATGCCAGGAGACCTTAATCATAACAAAAGGACGTCTCTGGGAACGGACTGCTGAGGAGGCTAACCTTTTGGAACCTAAGAGGGAGGAAGTGACAGGAAGTTGCAGAAGATTACGTAATTACGAATTTAATACCTATAATTATGCAATAAATACTTATTATCAAGAGGATAAAATTACGGAGGACGAGACTGGGTGGGGCGCATGGAGAGATTGGAAGTGGTAACAAAATTTTGGTCAGAAAACCCGAAGGAAAGAAACTATTTGGATGATCTAGGCGTATATGCTAGGTTAACGTTAAGATGGAGCATAAAGAAATTATGTTGTTTACATTAATTTGGCTCGGTATAGAGATCAGTGATCTATCTTGTGGACAGAGAAATAGATCTTCGGGTTTTGTAGAAGATTGAGTTTTTTTTTTTTTGAGCGGATTACTGACCATTAGCTTCTCACGATGAACGCTTCATGGAGTTAGTAGAAAATTGAAAGTAAATGGGCCTACTAACATTGAGAACAGGGCTCTTTTGATGGATCCACAGTGAAGACAGGAGCTCACACTGGGCCCACTAGAGGACTGAGTGCATAGGACGACCGGATGTTGCCTTACATACCAATAAAATACTCAGGTAGGATTACATTGAAAGTAGGCATTCTACACGTAATGACCAGTTCAGTTTTATTCTACGTCCTTAGTTTAAAATGAGATAACGTAATCTTAAATATTAACAGAAATTTAATTTTTTTAAATTTAATTATCAATTTTTCATTGAAGAAAAATTGTCGAAGTAAAAGTAAAAGCTATTCCGAACAGGCCGTGGAGGCTCATGGGGTTGTGAAACGTAGAGGCTCCCACATTTTCTAGACATTCGGCTCACAGACGGCGTTGAGGTTGTCAGCCTTACATACCGGCCGCTCTTTACTCCCAGGAAGATTCCCGGTACTCATTACTGTTAGAGGCTAAGTCGACACTAGGGCCATAGTGCGGCTGGAAGGGTGAAGTCAATTAAAAATCCAATGAGAGCCAGCGCGTAAGGCTGACAACCTCACCGCCATCTGTGAGCCGATCGTCTAGAAAATGTGGGAACCTCGACGTCTCACAACCCTATGGACCTCCACGGGCTGTTACAGGGATAACTTTACCTTTGGAAAGAAATACGCGGGTAGGAATATGTATATCGTATGGCGAAAGACCACGATCTAGTTACTTACACTAATACATGACGTCATGGTCGAGACGTCACTTGCAAATAGCGGAGATGGCTTTCAGTTTCAAGTAATAGCCTCGGGGATTTCCCCTGCTGTACACAAGCTTATCCTTCATCTCATGCAATTCTGAAATTCAGAGTCTGCAGGTAGAAGACAGAGAGGTAAAGCTAACTCTAGACTGGGTAGGAGTAAGAATTTAAAGGGGAGAAAATGATCCTGTAATGGGAGTAAGAATTATTCCCTTTGATTGTGCAGTTTAGGGGTTCATCAGGAGGAACGCAGTTTCTAGGTATACTCCATCTGCTATGGAAACTAGGTTACGTCATCACCAGTTAATGACGTGGACTTTAATGTCGTCATTACAAAGTTATTACATTTTCACCGTATTGTTGGTATCCGTACACCCGTGATAAAATCAGACGTGCTAATTAAACAGGACTTTTCTTCCGTAATGTTGCCTACAGAAGGGAAACGCGTTGGCGTAGTTCGTTGAGGCACTATGCTACAGGCGGGAAAGTCGAAGGTTCGATTCTCAATAAAGTCACTGGATTTTTCAGTTAAACTAATCCTATTAGCCGCACTATGGACTTGCGGCCGACTCAGCCTCTAACAGAAATGAGTACCAGAAATCTTCCTGGGGGGTAAGGCTGTCAAAATCGCCGCCATCTGTGAGCCGATTATCTAGAAAATGTGGGAGCCTCGATGTCTCACAAACCTATGGGCCTCCACGGCCTGCTGCAGGGATAGCTTTACCTCTACGGAATATGTGACCTACCCTGATTCATAGTGTAGATATATGTGCATGAGAGTTTAGTTTGCAGTTGGATGCTGTAAATACATAATGAGATATACATAATTCTGGCTTCCTGAAATGAATATGGATTGCATTCAGCGACTTGTCCGGGAATTAGGGAGGAATTTTGCATTTTCTATAGAGGAAGGAAAATGAGGTTTCAGAAGAGAGCCGGAACCACGCACTCTGCTTGAAGGTAGGGCGATGAAGAGTATATTTGGATCTAATGGAAAGAGAAGAATATGAGGATGGCTACAATTACGTAACCAGGAGTTTCGTAATATGCACGCTTCATAAAATATTATTAGAGTGACCAGATCAATGAGAACAAGATAGGTGAGGCATGTAGCATGCTTCGAAGAGATAGGATCTTGTACAGAATTTTTAATTTGAAAATTCTTATAAAGGATGGGACTCTAGACAGACGTGGAAGTAGATGATGGGATACTATTAAAATATTTAAGTCATATCTAAGTTACCATGGATACTGTATGCAAACCAAAGACTCTTAGACCTACCGTCATGACAAACACTTTAACTTAATCTATTATCACATGTGTGAGTCACTACAGACGGATTCTGGATTGATGATCGGCTTTATTGAATACTTACAGATAGTAACTACAAGTAACTATAGCGCTGTCTCTAATTCACACAGTCTGCAGTTCACTGCAGCACGTATTAAATCTTCTCAGTCTTCGCCAAGCGTTGCTTGGTAACGGCTTCCAACGTTGGACGTTCCCATTCCTCTGGGTTCCCGAACTGTCCGGCTTCTAACAGCAACAGCTCACAACGACTGAACCTCAGCAGTCCTCTAACTCACTCACCACTCACCACTGACTGACTCCAAGGCTGGCGGCCCAACTTATCCCGCTTACAATATCCCGGTACAGACCGCTGCGTACCATTGTAGGGTTCATGTCTGCCGGCGGAATCCATTATTGTTGTGTCTAATTGTTGCCTAGCGAACCGCTCACAAGACACCATTCCTCTGTTATTTGCGGGCCGCTGTACAGTCGCATATGTCGCGGTCGCTGCCTAGCGACGGGCCTACATGTCACAATATTCTTACCCCCAAAACACCTCCATGACAAGAATTTGTGGCGTTCTGTTTCAGAGCAATTTGTAAGCAGACTAAGTTTTCTGCGAAGGCGGTATTTTCCAGCTGCTTCCTCTGGTCTCCAGAAACTTACTGGAGTCAGCAGATATTTATATAACTTGCCACCTGGAACCAGTGGCACTTAATATTACAGCACCAAGTTTGAGTAGTGATACATACGGTGAACTTTCCCTATTTCGTAAGAGTAAAGTTTTCCCTGTGCTTAATTAAGCACCACGGCATGAAGACTTGTGGTATAGTAGATGTATAGCTTCATACATTCTTGATATGATTACTAGATGTAGTGAATCTTCAGTTTCACGCCCCTGCCGCTTTAACCTTAGCAAAAGAACCTTGGTACTCATATAATTAGAGGCTGCATGGGCCCTGGAATCGGTGTGGACGTTGTGTTGTTTGCACCTGCCTGAAATCAAACCTCAGTTCTTCCGTTGTTCAGCCAGTATCATAGCCACTGTACTCACTGAGCTACGCCGGATTCTTCCAAGTTTTGTGACACAACAATGTACATTCGTTCCACATTCCTAACAGTTCCATTATTTAGAGTGTTGTACCGAGAAAAGGGCTGCGTCACGGCTCATGTCACCAAGTGGAATCTTCTCTCCGCAGGAACCTTGGGTTCGATCTCGGGCGAAACCATATGTCATTCGTTGTGTTAGAAGTGACATTGGAGCAGGTTACTGTTCCAGTTTTTTCATCTTTCCCCTGCTACCCATCATTCCATCATTGCTCTATATGTATTTATCATCGCCGTCTGAGAAATTGGATCGCCCTGATCAGGCAGCACCTTATCAGATCCTCGGTCTTTAAGTTGGGGGAGCTTAATGTCTGACTCGACACTTGGGTGCTTGCAGAGTCAGGAAGATTTTCTTTCTACGTCACGAAATTGAGCAAGCCATTCAACTCTGAGTTCCTGCCTTTGGATCAACTCCAGACAGAGGCAAGTGTCGAGGTACCGTCCCGTTAACTAGACTCTGTGATCGAGCAGGTTAGCGTAGCGGTAGCACTCTGTACTCGTATTCGGGAGGTGCTCTGTTTGAATCTTTGCTGGGACATCGGTTATACTGGTTTATCGTAGTTTTCCTCCGTCAATCCAAGCATATGCCGGAATAATATCGTCACATTTGGGGGGTGACTTATAAGATGGGGTTTTGATTAGATGGTTGGGCTCATTGCACCTTATACATCCACGCAACTCAGGACTACATACAGGCAATCGCAGAGCTATCGCTATTGTACACACTTTCCAGTTCACCGTCGCACACGAACTAGGATTCTGAGTCTTCACTAGTCGTATCCTGGCAACGGATTTATCACAGTCTCACTGGCACTTCAACTCACATATGAAGTCTTCTTGGCACAGTTTAATTCCTTTCTTGTCATTTCTTCGCAATCACCTTGGACTGCCATCTGCAGAACTCGACCCAATTCCAATTATAACTACGTGAGATCCTCGTTATATAGCCTCGAGGTGGACCACACGGAGAACACCGTCTTCTATTATTAAGGATGAGTGTTTACTGGTGCGTTACCTAGCAATAGACGTTCTATTGTTGCGTCCGCGTGTTGCTGGAATGTGTTTTCCCACCCATTGCCTAGCAGTGGGTATACAGATCACAATATTTTAAGCCATCGACGATTCCTTTCAAATCCCTTCCAGTTCGTGATCCATCTCTCATCTTACCATGCCGATCGTGTACTGTGTAGACACAGACACTGTCATAGAATAATCCCGAAAAGCAATGGACGCTGTATAAAAATGTTTCAGTGAACACCGGACGGCTTTTAGTCTGATGAAACCCGCCCATTTCGGTAAGACTTTCGGATGATAAAGTCGCTTCAGCGCGTGTGGGCCTGCTTAAATAAATCACACATTTCAGGAGGGATATTTACCCCTGTCATTAGCTTCATTAGCATTAAAGCATCCTACAAACACAGAATCTCT